TATTTATTTATTTATTTATTTATTTATTTATTTATTTATTTATTTATTTATTTATTTATTTATTTATTTATTTATTTATTTATTATTATTTACTTCTCAGGCCGTTTCTCCTGCGGGTCTTTGCCCCGCCAGTTGCAGCAAATGACTCAAAAAAGTTTTTCTTTCGAATTTCCGGAGTTCTTCAAAGCTGCAGATCACCACCAACTCCAAACCCTCGACTTCCACCAGTTCAAACAGGTAGCTAGCTAGCTAGCCAGCTAGCTAGCCGGCTAGCTAGCTAGCCATATCGGTGCTATATGTTTAGCTAGCTAGCTAGCTAGCTAGCTAGCCATATCGGTGCTATATGTTTAGCTAGCTAGCTAGCTAGCCAGCTAGCCAGCTAGCCAGCTAGCTAGCTAGCCAGATCGGCGCTATATGTTTAGCTAGCTAGCCAGCTAGCCAGATGGGTGGTATATGTTTAGCTAGCTAGCTAGCTAGCTAGCTAGCCAGCTAGCCAGGTGGGTGGTTCGTGTTTAGCTAGCTAGCTAGCTAGCTAGCTAGCTAGCTAGCCAGCTAGCCAGGTGGGTGGTTCGTGTTTAGCTAGCTAGCTAGCTAGCTAGAAAGCTAGCTAGTTCACAAGCCGTCGATTTCCACCATTTCAAACAGGTAGCTAGCTAACTAGCCAGCTAGCTATCTAGCTACCTGCCAGATAGCTAGCGAGCTAGCTGAGTAGCTAGCTCGCTGGCTAGGTGGTAGATGGGCCGCTAGCTAGCTAGCTAGCTAGCTAGCGGCCCATCTACCACTCTTGACTTCCAGCAATTCAAACAGGTAGCTAGCTAGCTAGCCAACTAGCTAGCTAGCTAGCTAGCTAGCTAGCTAGCTAGCTAGCTAGGTAGCTAGCTGGCAGTTAGCAGGTTCACCTCGAGTCCAGCTAGTGGGAGATATCTGGTAGACTGGCAGCTGGAGATGCTTCTTGAGAAGCCGTTTTAGTGTTTAGGGTTTAGGGTTTAGGGTTTAGGGTTTAGGGTTTAGGGTTTAGGGTTTGTGTGTTGCTGCAGATGATGCGCGAGCTGCTGGTGCAGCCAGATGTGCAGCTGTACTTTGACCTCTTCAAAGTCCCCAACGAATCCTTCATTTCTGAAGAAGGTGCTGCTGCTGCTGCTGCTGCTGCTGCTGCTGCTGCTGCTGCAGCTTTTGCTGCTGCTGATTCTGCTTCTGCTGCTGCTGCTATTACTACTACTGCTACCGCGTTGCTGCTGGTGGTGCTGCAGCTACTGCTACTGCTGTAGCTGCTGCTGCGGCTGCTGCTGCTCCTGCTGCTGCTACAGCAACTGCTGCTGCTACAGCAACTGCTGCTGCTGCAGCAACTGCTGCTGCTGCATCAACTGCTGCTGCTGCTGCTGCTGCTGCTGCTGCTGTACGTTTAGGGTACGTTCGTTTTCTGAAGGAGGTGCAGGGTGTCGATACACCCGAGGCGTTGGAAGAAGAACTGGAGTTTTTCAGAAATGCAAATGACTCCTACAAACAAACCAGACAGGTCTCTAGGGTTTAGGGTTTAGGGTTTAGGGTTTAGGGTTTAGGGTTTGGGGCTTTTGTGTGTGTCGTATCTGCGTGGACCTGTTTTGTTTTGCTTTCTTTGCGGCGCTGTCCAGAGTCTAAAGCCATGCCCCATCATGAAGCCTAGGGTCTAGGGTTTAGGGTTTAGGGTTTAGGGTTTAGGGTTTAGGGTTTAGGGTTTAGGGTTTGTGGCGCAGGGTTTGGGGGTGTGTCTGACGCTGCTGGGGTTTAACGCGCTGCTGTGTTCTGCTGCCAATCACCTCATGAGTGTAAAAAGACAAAAAGTCCATCAGCCGCTTTCTTATCCTCTTTCGGACTACTGGATCAACTCTTCCCACAACACTTACCTCTGCGGCGACCAGGTCTGCTGCTGCTGCTGCTGCTGCGCTGCTGCTGCTGCTGCTGCGCTGCTGCTGCTGCTGGTGCTGCGCTGCTGCTGCGGCAGCTGATGCTGCTGTTGCTGCGCTGCTGCTGCTGCTCCTGCGCTGCTGCTGCTGTGCTGCTTCTGCTGCTGCTGTGCTGCTGCTGCTGCTGCTGTGCTGCTGCTGCTGCTGCTGTGCTGCTGCTGCTGTGCTGCTCCTGCTGCTGCTGCGCTGCTGCTGTGCTGCTGCTGCGCTGCTGCTGCTGCTGCTGCTGCAGGACTGAAAACGGCGTTTCTGTGCGAATTTAGGGTCTTTTTGGGCCGTTTTTTCTGCGCCAGCGTCCACTGCTGCTGCTGCTGCTGCTGCTGCTGCTGCTGCTGCTGCTGCTGCTGCAGGTGGTGGGGCGGAGCGCAGTGGGCCAGTACATCGACTTGCTGCTGTCGGGCTGCCGCTGCGTCGAACTCGACTGCTGGAACGGCCCCGAAGGCGAGCCGGTGCTGTTCCACGGGCTGGGCGGCTACCAGCTCTCCACGCGCATTCCCTTCAGAGACGTCATCAGGGCCTGCAAAGACTACGGATTTCAGGTATTTCGTTGCCGTTTTTGCTGCTTTTCGGAGCTTTTGAAGGCGCTTTTAAAGGCAGATTGAAAGCATTTAGAAAGGACTAGTGGAGTCTCAAAAAACCGGAAAGTTTGGCTGCTTTTTGGCCTTTATTTGGGGGGTTTAGGCCACTTAGTTGTGGCTTTTTGGGGCATTTCAGTCATCAGGGCCTGCAAAGACTGCGGATTTCAGGCGTTTTAATGCAATTTTTGATGCTTTTTAGACCATTTAATGGCATTTTAAAAGCAATTTAAAAGTATTTAAAAAGGGTTATTAAAGTCTGCAAAAAATGGGGAATTTCGGGCACTTTTTAGTCTTAATTTGGGAATTTGAGGCCCCCGGGGGGACTGGGGCCCCTACAGGGCCTCACAGGGTACTGGGGGCCCCCAAGGGTACTGGGGGGCCCCCAAGGGTACTGGGGGGCCCCCAAGGGTACTGGGGGGCCCCCAAGGGTAGTGGGGGGCCCCTAAGGGTAGTGGGGGGCCCCCAAGGGTACTGGGGGGCCCCTAAGGGTACTGGGGGGCCCCCAAGGGTACTGGGGGGCCCCTAAGGGTACTGGGGGGCCCCCCAAGTTAAGTGTGGGGCCCCACAAGCTGAGTGTGGGGCCCCACAGGCTGTTTGGTGTGAAGGGGCAGCAGAATGTGTGGGGTGTTTGTTTGTTTGCTTCTTGATTGAGAGAAGTGAGGAGAGAAGCTGCTGCTGCTGCTGCTGCTGCTGCTGCTGCTGCTGCTGCTGCTGCTGCAGCGGTCGAAGCTGCCGATAATCCTTTCTTTGGAAATGCACTGCACGACAAGTCAAAAGGCGAAAATAACAGAAATTATAAATGAAATCCTCGGGGACTCTGTCTACAGATGCAGTAAGCAGCAGCAGCAGCAGCAGCAGCAGCAGCAGCAGCAGGAAGTTGCAGCAGCAGCAGCAGCAGGAAGTTGTAGGAGCAGCAGCAGCGAGTTGTAGCAGCAGCAGCAGCAGGAAGTTTTAGCAGCAGCAGCAAGAAGTTGCAGCAGCAGCAGGAAGTTGCAGCAGCAGCAGCAGGACGTTTTAGCAGCAGCAGCAGCAACAGCAGCCGCTAAAGCAGCAGCAAACACTGAAGTAAGCGGGCAGGCGGGCAAGCGGCTTGTAGTGTAAGTGTCATCTGATCCAGGGTTTAGGGTTTAGGGTTTAGGGTTTAGGGTTTAGGGTTTGTGTTGCAGGCCCCACAACCCCGCTTCCAGCCCCTGGAAGTCTGTTGTGCTGCTTTTTAATTAAAAGTAAAGTTTTGAATGAATTGGGAGAATTCATAGAAGAAGGAGATGAAGAAGACATCAAGGCAAGTGCTGCTGCTGCTGCTGCTGCTGCTGCTGCTGCTGCTGCTGCTGCTGCTGCTGCTGCTGCTGCTGCTGCTGCTGCTGCTGCTGC